TCGCTGTGTGAGCTGACAGTGGTGCCCCCGCCGCGCCCCCAGCACAGGCTCTCCAGCTGCTGCAGGTGGGGCAGGCAAGCGTGAGCAAGGGCACAGGATACAGGGCCCCAGGCCAAGGGCACAGGTGCACCCACATACCTGGTTCCCCAGGAAGATGTGGGCCACACGCTGCACGGCCCGGTTCCAGATGACCAGCAGGCCCCGGCTGTAGCCGATGAGGATCTTAGTGGGGTCCCGCTGGTGTCCCTGGAGCGACTCCACGGGGCCCAGTGCCTTCCCGCACCGGTAGTCATCAGGTAGGCTGCAGAGGGAGCTCTGGTGAGTGGGCACAACTCCCCGGGCACCGAGGTTGCAGGGGAACCCACCTGCCCCTCACCTTCGCAGAACCTCCTCTGGGCCGAGGGTCTGCGCCTCAAGCAGCGTCAGGGTGGTGACATCCAGGAAAAAGACACTGCCACCCTCGGTGCCCAGAGCTGCCATGTCGCCAGCAGCCAGCAGCAGGACCACTGTGATGCGGGTGAGGCCAGGCAGGGTACTGCAGGGAATGAGGGAAAGGGGCGAGGGCTCAGGAGGGTGCAGAGGGAGTGGGCCACCTCTGACAGTTCACAGCTGCCCCTCTGCGCCCGTCAGCCTACTTATGGAGTAGGCCGGCGCCCCAGGAAGGCGCTGGTGCAGTGTAATTAGCCCGCTCAATTATTCATCAGGATGTCTGCAGGGAGAGGGATAAAAATAGTTTCCCCAGGTCTTGGAGACAGACTCCAGCTCCTCCCACCCACCAGGAGGGTAAGGCAGGAACCGGGAAGCACCCAAGCCACGACCAGGAGCCCCAGGACAGACCTGGCCCTCCTGGCCCCAGGAATCCACCAGCAGCCGGCTGGGCGTCGACTGCCTGCAGGAGGGCCCCGTGTCGTCCCTGCCTGCAGAGTCTAGGAGACTCCAGGGATCCACCCCACATTAGGTGCCCCATTCCAGCACTGCAGGGAGGGTCGAGGGGTCCCCGTATACCCTCACCCCTGGTCCAGGCACATGGGGCCGCACTCGGCCAGCACCATACCACGCAGCCTGCAGGACTCCTCTTGCCCCCAACCCGCTCTTTCCTCTCCACTCACAACTATCTGTCTCCGCCCCAACTCAATCTTGAGGGGCCAGGGAACCCTCCCTGATGTCAGCTAACTTCAGGCCCTGGCCCCCGTCCCCGCCACAGCAGGGGCACAATGCAGTCCTCAGGCCCAAGAGGTCCGGCCTGCAAGCACGTTCCCCCTGGTGCACACAGCTGCTCACTCTGAATCCGTCTTGGACCAGCAGGACCCACCCGCTGCAGCCTGGGACCTGGGCCTGGCTCAGAGCACCCACACCCTGAGCACAGCCCCCTGGCAGCAACCAGTCCCCACCCCACCTTCGCACAGCCGGTTCCCATAGTCTTCCCAGGGCACCCCCTGCCCGGAGCTGGTCCCAGCCAAACCCTCCAGTACCTGGCACCCTCAAAGCCAGGCCGGCTGGGTGGCTGGAAGCTGAGTGCCTCCTCCAGGCGAGCACAGCCGCTGTGGGGGATGATCTCCCAGAGGTGCAGGCTGCTGTCATCCAGCAGGGTCAGGAGGCGGCCCTTGTGAGGAAGAGACCAAGACCGGGCTAGCCAGGGGGAGGGGACGGGCCCCCCGGAGCCAGCAATGGGGGACAGAGACTCACCTGGCCAGGCAGGAAGTGCATCTGGGTGACAGTAGCCGCGTCCCGGTGCAGGCCCGTGAACTCCACACCGGGGGCACCATAGCTGAGGTGACGGGTCAAGGGTGGAAACAGGAAGGGGGCAGGGAGCCGTAGCGCTGCCCAGGCCGCTGCCCACTGAGGATCCGACGGGCCCACTCTGGGCCTGCCCATCCAGAGGCCTCCGAGACCCGGGGGGGGCCCTCCCTGAAGAAGCTCCTGTCTGCACCCCAGGGGATCCCCTGGCTCAGAGTGCAGGCTCCACTTAGCTCCTGCAGGCCAGCGTACCCACCAGACCTTCACTTCCTCATCTGCGAGGCGGGCTAGCTGCTCCCCCTCTCGGGCTAAGGCACACTGAGTGAGAGCAGAAACACGCCCAGCGCGCTGGGCCAGGCCTGCACAAGGCTGGGCCAGGCTCCTCTCAGGCCTCACTTGTGGGGCTGTGTGGGCTCTTGGGAGCTGAGCCTGGGATCAGGTAGGCAAGGCCTGGACGAGGGAGCCTGCGGGCAGAGGAGAGCTCAGGCCCCCTCTTCCAGCTGCTTCGGGGTAGGAAAGGGAACCAAAGTCCTTCCAGGACGGGAAGCCAAGGCTCCCATTGCAAGGAAGGAGCCCCCAGTCTGCCCCTTTTACGAATAAGCATGCAGACCCAGGGCCCGGATGGCCACTGAGGGGCCCTGGCAGTGTCAGAGGCCCCGCAATTTCAGGTTGATGGTGGGTGGCAAGGCCTGAGGGGGCCCCAGGAGGGCGGGCTCAGGGATCGGTCAGTGATGTTGCCCCGGTGACAATGCAGGAGCTGTTGCCTAGAGCTTGGGCTGGATTCCCTGCAGGAGACTGGCGGGGACAAAGAGGGGGCAGGAGTAGCAGGGCGGGAACTAGGGTCGTCAAGGAGATGGGGCTGGCCCTGTGGGGGGAAGGGTGGCTTGCAGTGACCAAGCCTGGCCCTCTGTAGCCTCAGTTTCCCAGCTCCAGGCTCTGGCCTCCTCTGGGGCTCCGTCCCCTCATCTGCACCACTCTGGGTGCCCGGGGCAAGCGCGCAGAGAGTAAGCGAGGCATTGCTAGGTGGTGGGAGAAGGGCACGGGAACCCCGTGCACAGGAACACGGCACCCAGCGGGGAGCAGTGGGCCAAAGGCAGGTTGGCAGATCTGGGCACTCAGAGGCTCAGGGAAGAAGGGACGCCCCGGCCCACGCTCCCAGTGGGCAAGCTCACAGACAGGCCCAGGTGCCCGCCCTGCCCGCCTGGGGTGAGGAGACCCTGCCAACCCACACTTGCCCTTTCCAGGCTCATCCACTGTGGATCGCCAGCCACACGAGGGTGCAGAGAGCCCGAGGCCCACGGAGAAGGGCAGGGCGGGCGCCCTTCGCCAAGCAGCCCAGCCAGACCCTGCGCCCGGCCTCCCCCAGGCGGGTGGGATTCCCAGCAGCCAGGAGGCGTTCAGCTGCCCTGGCCCCCGCCCCCCGCCCCGCGCCTGCAGGGAAAATGCCCGCTTTGTGTGGCTCACTCGGCCCATTGTGCGCCGCCAGGATCCAGGTGGGGGCCGTGCTGCGCTCGCCACGACGAGCCTGGCACTGCCCCCGGCGCGGCTGAACACACATCTTCGTATTTGCACACACATGTGTGCCTGCTCACCAGGGCCCCCAGCCCACCTGCCACCCACTCTCCACGGGTACCACAGCCCGGCCCCTCGGTCCCGCCCCCCAGTCACCGTTGCTGGGATGATGGCAGGGTCACCTAGGTAACCGGCTGGCTGAAAGCAGCGAGGGAAAGCTGTGGCCACTGGAAGCCCGCCTCCCAGCAAACAGACCACGGGCTCATGAGGAGCTGCCCCAGGCGGAGGCCCGCCAACCTCGGGGATCCCGGCACTCAGCGTGGCCTCCACGAGAGCCCTCCCTGACCTGTGCTCCCCAGGGTGCACCCCCAGAAGCAAGTGGTCCTCCCAAGGTCTCCGGCCTCTGACTGCAAAGGATACATCTTGACAGCCCCAGATCTGGTGCCGATGGCCATGATGCGAAGTTCCGGGTCAAATGCCAGGGCGCTGGGCTGGTTGGGGAAGCCATGCTCCACGGTCTACAGGAGAGAGGGGTGAGGGGCTGCTGGGGCACACGCCGAGTTCCACCCCACTGCAGCCTCTGGACTTTGCCACTGGCCTGGGGGGTAGGAGCCAGGTCAGCCCGCTCTGTGCCTCAGCGTCCTCCACCATGAGACGGGTGGTCACACCTCCACAGGCAGGGAGGGGGCTGAGTCCCTGGGCTCCTCTGTGACCCACGAGGCCCTCCCCTCACCGCCCCCCGCCCCAGTTACCAACAATGCCTGTGCCAACCGCACTGGGCACACACAGGCTCTAGCCGCAAACGGAGGGCAAGACCCACAGGGGATACAGATGGACAGGGCCCCCGCCTCATCAGTCTCCACACCCCATTCCCAGGGGCAGACTGAAGCCTGGCCAGGACTCATCTGCCTGGGGCCCCAGGTGAAACCTAGGGCGCTCCTCAGACACGGCCCACGTGGAGGTCAGAGGCCAAGGGTCCACACCCAGCAGCAGCTAGGCAGAGGCTCTCGACTCCCCTGAGAGGCAGCTCCCTGCCCGGCCCCTGAAGGCATCACCACCCCGCAGCACACAGCTGGGCAGCACGAGTCCCACCCCTTCAGCAGTGGGGACGGAGCTGCAGGGCCTGCTCACCGGATCCACGGCACCATGTCCCACCCAGTCCTCTGCTACCGGCGGGGCCGGTCCCCACACAGGGCAGCACTGTCAAGCCCCTTCCTTTGGCCGGGTCCTGCCTGTCTCCATGTACCCACACAGGGAATGCCAGCTCAGCTCTCAAGGCCTGGCTGGGAGCCTCAGGGGGTGGGAGGAGGCCTGCACACCTGGGTGCCAGCCCTGCCCTGACACCAGTGTGGAGACCCCCACCTGGGGAACTCCAGACCCCACCGCCTCAGGAAGACACATGTTCATAAGAAATCCCAGTGTCCAGGACCAGCAGATGGCATAATGGCTACATCGCTGACTCCCATGTAGTAGACTGCAGTTGAGTCTCAGGTCCAGTGGCTTAAAACTCACGCCGGGCGCGTGTGCGTGCGTGCCCAAAATCTCAAAAGGAGAAGGGACAGCAGCATGGCCACTCCCCCGGGGGGTGATTTCTTGCTTTCTGTCTCTTTGGCTCTCTCTGAATCTCCAGAGTGCATGTGCCCTATAAGAAGTAACTTTCTTAAAAAAAAAAAAAAAAAAAAAAAAAAAAAACAGCCCCCACCCTCATCCCCAGGCTCTCTTCAGAGCCTAACCAGGTAGGGACTGAGCCCTGTGGCAGCTGGCTGGGCCATGGCCTGGCTGTCTGACTTGGGCTAGGAGCAGCCCTTTCCAAGCCCGTTTGCCATCTGCGCTCTGGGGACAAGGAGCCCCCTGGGCACCGAGCTGCCACTGGCTGCGGAGTGGGGCTTCACTTTCCCACCAGCACTGCCCTGCTCGGTCTTGCTAGACCTGACCCTGTCTAGCCAGTCCCTGGCCACGGCCTAGTGTCCAGACACAGGGCACAAATGACGATACAACACATACCCCGTGGCCTGGACCTGGCCCCCAGGTGAGGGGGAGATGAGGCCAGGTCACCTGTCCAGACCTGCTTCTGTCACAGCCCATGTCCCATCCACACACACAGATGTCACAGCCCCACCCTACTCCAGGCCCCCGTGGTGCAGGGCAAGAGAGGGCAGGGCCAGTGCTCCTCACAGCCTACTCCCCACACAGCGGCCAGAGCGTCCTGTGAGGGCCACTGTCAGATCCCCATCCCTCCTCCCGGGGCTCCCCCTTCATCTAGTCCAAGCCACGTCCCTGTCGGCTGGCCCCTCTCTGTCACCTTGCACTCTCCCTGGCTCATGGCTCTAGGCCCAGCACCCTTCTGCTCTCCTCCAATTCATCAGGCAGGCTCTTGCCGGGGCCTTTGCATCTATGACCCGCTGCGTGGACACAGGCTCCTTCCCACAGCTCAGGCGCGGAGAGCTTGCTGAGGCCTCCGAGACCCCGCTGGCTTCAGCAGCCACCCTGTCCACGCTCCCCAGTGCTATCATGCCCACAGCGCTGGCCCCTGCCGGGCCACTGCTTGGCTCACTGTGGGTTTCTGCTCTTCCCAGCATCCCTCACTAGCACTGAGTGGAGAGATCCCTGTCCCTTTCCACCAGTGTCTCTAGCACCTGGGAGCCCTCCTGCAGTGGTTCAGTATTAGCTAGGGTGACCTAGAGTGCACACACCACAGGCGACCCGCCACCTGGGCTGCGGTTTGAACGCAAGACTTGGGTGCTCCAAGTCCACACGCACCCCTAACCTGCTCGCCCAGCCTTGGGGACGCAGGGCCTAGTCCCTAGGGATCACCGCCTCCTCCACTCCCACCCCCACCCCCACCGCTGTCCACCCGGCCTCAGGGCAGAGACCTCACCTGCTGCCCAGGGCTGGCCACCATGACCCAAGCTTCGCCCCGCTCTACCTCAGAGCCCCACTGCACACCCCAGGTCACTGCTGAGGAAGTGACATGTGGCCCGTGCCTGTCCCCACCACTCCCAGGGCTCACCTTCAGCGCCAACCCTGCACAGGAAGAGGTGCTACCTGGGGACCCCGAGCACCAGCCTTCTTGCCGGCCTCTCTCAGATCCCTGGCAGGTTCTCGGCCATCGTCCCAACCCTGCCTGCGCAGAGATGCTCCAGCGCCTCAGCCAGCAGGGACAGCCCTCCCCGAACCTCCTCTGCGAACAGGCAAGAGCTGGGCAGCAGCAGCCAGGGCGCCACCGAGCCATGGATCAGGACCATGGCACCCCTGCCAGGCTGAAGCCCAAGCCCGCCGACGGAGAAGCTCCAGGAGTGCGGCCACCTCGCTCTGTGACTCGCCCGGCGTCACCCCATCTCTGAACCTCAGTTCCCTAGCTGTATGAGGAAGATAACTCCAAAGGGCAGCAAGAGGCTCTGATCCGGGGGCTCTGGGGTCACTCAGGCCAGCACTGACCCCCCGGAGGAGTGTAAAGGAAGGAAGGCCCTCCCCCCACTGCACCTGGGTGCAGGTGCAGGCTGGCATAAGTGAACCAGGGCCACGGCAGGCAGGCAAGTGACCCCACTTCACAGCGAGGGAAGCTGAGGCCCCAGGCTCTGAAGTGCATTTGGGTACACAGCTAGGCATGTCCCCCAGCCCCAGAGCCCCCGCGGCAGGGCAGGGCAGGGCAGGCAGGGCAGGGCAGGGTAGGGCCCCCAGCCCCCACATCTGCCTCACCCCCCTACCCCCACCCCCTGGCTGCACTGGGTGCAAAGCAAAACACGCAGGGCCCTCGGCTGCCCCAAGGGCCGAGCAGGGGCGCGGAGGGGCCAAGAGTGAACGGGTAAAGAGACAGTGAAAGTTTGAGACCCCACGGAGACGCAGACACAGGGAAAGATTCAGAAGGGCAGAGTCAGAAAGAGGGAAGAGAGGCAGATAAAGTGAGAGCGAGGAGGAGACGGGGACGGTACTGGGAGACACGCAGGGACAGAGGGGCAGAGACGCCCGACACTCGGGCACAGACCAGGCACCGCCACCGGCAAAGGCAGAGAGCGCGGCGGAGACCCCGAGAGACGCAGAGTTGGGGGGGACCCGGGGACCCAGCTGCACAGGGGCGTGCAGAGCCAGGGCCAGCCTGGCCCACCGGGAGCCGGGCGGGATTCACGGAAAGTCAGC